CAATGTACAGGATGGCCACTATAGTATATAATAATACTGCATTGTAAATTTTAAAATGATAATACACTATGTGAATCACAATATATGTGACTTTCCTGAATAATGAATCGACCCACTATGCTCATTTCTGTGTCGCCTGGCACAGGTAGATCTCTATGGATTGGTGTATATGAAGGAGGAATTGTTTGCATGTGTAGACTGTGAGCACAGGATGCGGGTGTTCTTACCACAGCGGCCGGATGTCTGGCGAGGGAGGCAGTGCAGGGTCCCGAAGACGCACCTGCAGAGCTGGCAGCCGCAGACGGTCCAGGATCCGTGCACCAGGGTGCCGCACTCACTAAGAGGCCGAAACCCCGCGTTAGTACAGCCAGCGCGTGCATCCCACCCCGCGCCTCACCACACGAACGCCCCCACTCCGGTCCAGCCATCCCGCTCATCCCTGCACCCACCTGTGCCTCAGGTCGTGCTCGCAGTAGCGGCCGGTGAAATGGGCGGAGCACACGCAGAAGCTACCCAGCACACAAGTGCCGCCGTTCATACAGCAACGCTGGGGCGGGAGTGCACCTATGAGGGTCGCCTGGGCGTCAGCTGGGAGCTTAGTGAGCTGTCCGCCAGAAGAGGGCATGAGGAGATCGCCACGGGGAGGCAATAAAATTAGCTCCCTGATTAGTGTATTTGCTCAGGTAAAGCCTGCTTGTTAATCAAAGGATTAAAAACAAACTACCTTGCGTGAAGTAGGGTCAGGAACAAGTCGGATGACAGGACCTAAAACCCTGCCCACAGCAGTAGGGTTTTTAGGGTTTTCTTTCTCCCTTCTTCCCTCCCTCCTCCCCTCCCTTCCTTCTTCATTCCTTCCTTTCTTTCCTTCTTTCACATGTTAAATTCAGGATGTGACTTTCCTGACAATGATTGAAGACAGGTCTCCTGGGCCAGGACCACCCACGGGTGCAATGATACCACTCTACCCGCCACAACCCGCCCCCCACTACCTCCGCCAGAGGGACCCCCTGAGGACATGGGATCTGGCACCTGAGAGCCTGCAATAAGCCAAGTAGAGTCTGCTATTATCTTGGGTTGGGATATTTGTTTTAAATACATTTCAGTCATCTTTCTGGACCTGAGAAAAATACCCACTTAAGAGCAAATGCACATGGACACATGTTCGGTAGGCCTGGGGTCGGGGGGAGGGAAGCGAGGTGGAGGGAGTCAATTGCGGGGGGCGGGGGGGGGGGACATCTATAATACTTTAAACAATAAAGATAAATTTTTTCAAAAGAGCAAATGCAACGTTTTACAATGAAATAGTAAAACTTTTTTTCCAGAGTAAAAGAACATCTCACTAGGAAAAAATTTATTTTATAGTGTATCATCATTTGAAAATGATAAAATGTTCTCTATTGGGTTTCTTATCTTTAATATATCTCAGGGTTTTTCAGACCCTAAATTTGGAGTCCAGTGACTGAGCTGATTGCAAAGGCTTTAAAACAGCCTGGGGACTTACGCTCTTGAAAAGCCCTGGAATGGGGAAGCAAGTCCTGAGACCTCCAGCTCTCCACGCTCCCATTCATCTCCCTAAAATTATTCAAAGTCCAGTTGAGTGTTTTCTGCTGGAGCTTCTGAACTGTAGCATTGTTGACTTCTTCTCTACTACCTTTATGTTTCTCTCTTTGATAGCCTTGTAAAAACATTGAAAATATGAGGCTGATAATGATTGAGAAACAAATACACAATAAAAACTAAAAGATTGTAAATAAAATGCTTCTTACTGTTTCCCAAATGGATGATCTGTAACACTAAACTGATCATAAGCAGAAGCCTAGAATATTTAAAGAAAAGTATTGAAGTTTAAAATATAAAAAAGCATAAACAGAAATTTATACATGTTAAAATATAATACAATCACATTATAAAGGTATATACAATATTTAATGAATAATAAATATTATGCAATCATTTTGTAACTTGTAGATTTTGATATGTTGTAATCACTAGAAAGATTTTGAGACCAAAAAAGTATACAGTATCTTAACGAGAAGGAACAATCATTCATGTGTTGCAACTTATTCTGGAGGCTTTTAATAGCCCCTCTTGACTCTAAGATTTAGATGATCTGTCCTTACCTAGTAGAGTGGCTCCAAGTCATTTTCTCACTGACAGGTCTGGTATGAGAATATCCTTCTCTCATCAATATATTGAAGATCAATTTCCAAGGAAGTTGAGTGTGACTGTGTTTGTATTTGAAGGTGTCTTTACTCAAGGTCCTGGAGTAACTGCATCAGGATACAAGATGGCTAAGTACAGTAGACTCAGGTATTTCCTACCCTCTGCCTAGGCCACAGGAAACAACAATGAGGTCTCTGAGTTCCGATGTGGAAGCTGTTAGGCAATTGCCTGTTGTGAAGCTGGGCCATGCAGAGCCTCAAGGACTATCCCCTCAATAAGACTCAGCTGGAGGAAGGGGGTGGAGACATGGCCAAATCTCTCTGGGACAGTTTACAGTGCTGACAGCAGCAAGAGTAAACTAACCCCGATGTAAAACATTGATGACCAAGGCAACAAGTATTTCCCTCACTGGAAAAAAAAAAGTTAAAACCCCAATGTGAACAAATATGTTTTCATAGGAAAATGGAGATTTTATATTGCTAACTCTTTATACTGGAAGGTGGAAGGGGGTCCAGCTAGAAACGGGAGCTGCCTGTGTGGGACATAACCAGCAGGCTTGGATCCCAAAAGTCTTAAGTGGGGAGCATGAATATAAAGGGAGACACTTCAACACCTGCTTTCTGAGGATATGTCAATATTTCCACAGACTGAGCCTTTTCTCTGTGCCCAGCATAGTGGTAAATAAGTCATATGCATTATTCATTTCATATAGCACTGCTCTGGGAAAGCACTAATATTAATCCCCCAGGTAAAAGATGAAGCAACTAAGGCTTAGAGTTTAAGACCCTTGTGGCAGTTAGATATTTGAAAAACATGAAATATATAGATAGTATGAGAAGAAGGTTTTAGGGTGCTCAGCATCCAAATACCTGGAAACACAGGAGTAACTGCCACCCAACATCATCTGAATCCAAGAAGGGAGTGATTTAGGAACCTCTTTGGAGACTTTCTGAGTCTCAGTTTTTCTAATTGCTAAAATAGTGACCCTCAGAGCCCTTTTATCAGCACTAAAGAGGACACCTGCAACTTTGGTGCAAATTGTTCTGTGATTTTAATATAAAAACTGCTTTCTAAAAATAGCATGTTTCCTTCAAGGATGATACTATCTTTGTTACTGATTTAAATTTTTAAACCTTTAAATGTGAGGTTTATTAAAGAGGTTGTTAAATAAACCAATAGTGAGTCAGTGAGCCTGGCTGCAGTGAGGCCTCCCAACCACTGGTTCTGTGAGCTGCCAGAACCAGGTTGGGACCAGCAGATCCTAGTGGGCAGAACATGCAGAGGATGACACCTGGCACCTTCATGAAACATCTGTAATTGAAATCATGACAAACACACATTAAATTGGTTACTTCCTGTTAATTTCATAATTTAGTTACACATAAAAGTAAGTATATTTTATTACCTTAAATCAATAGAAACTTCTATATAACCCTAACTGGCTTATATACTAAAATGAAAACCAGGTATAAGCTAAAGGATTATATATACTTGAATAAGAAGTATAAAAACTGTTCCATTTACAGGATGACACTAAATCCAATCCTAATATTAAATATTAATATTTAGTATTAATATATTAAATTATCTAATATTAACATTTTAAACGTAGTAGCTAAAATCTAACTTTCCCCCACAGTTATTTTTAATTAAATTTATATTGTGGACTTTCAAATTTACACAAAAGCTAGGACAATGATCCCATAAACCTGCCTAGGTTCAACAAATAAATATCAACCTTTGCCAGTCTTATCTGATTTATTTTCCCACATGCTTTTGCTTTAAGTTTTTAAAGCAAATCTCAGACATCATGATATTTCTTATGTCAAATAAGGCTTTGAAAATATGCACTTTATAAATGGAAACTATAGAAATAGGAAAGGAAATGTCTTGCCAGAAAGACAGGATTGAGAGGCTAGAAATAGCCATGGAATGTCCCACCTCTGGCTGTTTGCTTAAGATCTACAGTCAGCTCTAAGGAGGGAAAGGGCTGATGGCCTAGAGGTGATAAAGTTGCTAAACCTCTTTTTCAGCATCCTGTCACTTGCTCTCATTTACTTAAAGGTCTTATAAAAAGAATTTTGCATTTCACTGCAGAAGAACCCAGGTTTGCTTGATTAATGAGTCCCAGCTGGAAGGAGTTACTTAGGAGCAGCTGGAGGCCAAGTGGTGGGGCAGCAGACGGGCAATCTAGGAAAGGTCCTTTCTTGTTATCAGTTATAAACAGATAAGATTTGGAGCCAACTCACTCATCAGACTTTCAGGGGAACTTCTGACTCATTTTGAGCTGCCATAAGGTATATGGGAATGGGGACACCCTGTCTCAGGATTGGAGACCACCCCACCTCTGTTTCCTTAGTACATCAAACAGTCACTGATGAAATTGTTCTGCAACAAATTAGGTGTGAAGGAACTTTCTGAGAATGACTTTAGAGCAGTGTTGGTCAATGTGTGTTACTGGCTGGGTTTTCCTTTAAGCCACACCTCAGACCTTTTTCACTCAGAAACCCCAGGCAAGGCTGAGAACAGAATCAAGATTTTTTTTTTCTCACCAGTCCAGGTGACTCTGGTGTGCAGCCAAAACTGATTCTATATCTATGTTCTGCTTGGCTATGTGCTCCCAAAGATGGGATACTCCTTTCAAGCCTTTGCATTCCACCCTTAAGCACAGTGTCTGATGCACCATGGGTACCATGGTACCACACAATGAAGTGTTGGTTGTGTAAATAAAAGAATAAGTGGATTATTATACTTAGACCACTTTTTTAATGAAGAAAGTGAAATCTAAGAAGAAACTGGCTTGTGATATATACTGTGGAAGAAGACAAACTTCTCTCTCCCCCAAGGTTTTTCTAGCTAGTCTCATAATAAAATAGACATGAAAAAGACTAGCAAGAGAAAAATAACCAAATGTAATACATACATATGTATGGGAACCATGAATACATGGGAGAGTCAGAGACCCCATATACAGGAGAGCTTCAGAGATAGAAAGGGTTATTGAGGTATATAAAACCATCTGAGCTTGGGATGAAACCTTGGAGGCTTCAAAGGGTCATTGCAGGATAAGAAGAGCAGATGTTTAGTAAATAGAAATTTGTCCTGCTTTATAGATAGGTCAAAAGAGGTTATCTCTCATAATTGCTTATTATAGGCAAGGCTTCTAACTCAAGTTATTCTAGGTACTTAAGGGAGGGGGCAAAAGTTTCTCATAAGTCTATAGCTGAAGTTGCCTTTAGGTCAAAATAATCTGCATACCACAGAGACACATCTTGGGGTGACTCATTCTTAATCCTCAAAATTCCCTCTTTGGAAATTCTCCTGGAAATTTCACATTTCAGAAGTTAGATTGGTAGACTATTCTTTTTCTAATAATTATTCATTTTTTATTTATAGTTGATACACAATATTATATTAGTTTTAGGCATACAGCATAGTGGCTAGACAATTGTTTACTTTATAAAGTGTTCCCCCTGATGTTTCTAGTACCCACCTGGCACCATACATAGTTATAATTTTGACTATATTCCCTATGTCGTGTTAGGTCTGATTAAATAATTGAATCAATACCCCTCCCAGGAAACTGGCCTTTAGACCACTTCACCATGGACACTCCCTTTTCCTTAGACCATATTCCACTTGCTAAGACCACATTCCATTTCCTAAGACCATTATTTCTTCCCAGACTTTACCAGATCTGGACCAGCCCAGAGAATTCTCTACCCAGAAAAAGCCTGCCTAGATTCCTTTAAAACCTCGTGACTCCCCATCCCTGAATGCAGACACCATTTTGGGGCTCAGCCCATCTGATATCCAGATGACCTAATAAATTTATAATCCCTTACCACCTTTGGCTTCTTGCATTCCTCCTTCGGTGACCCTAACATGCCATACTTTTTTGTAGCTACCAATTTTTACTTCTTAATCTCTTCCTATTTTTTATCTCTCCCCCCAATCCCCATCCCATCTATCAATCATTAAAATGTTCTCTGTATTTATGTTTGTTTCTGTTATCTTTGTTTTTTTATTTTGTTTTTTTAGATTCCACATACAAGTGAAATCATATGGAATTCATCTTTCTTTGTCTGACTTATTTTACTAAGTACCATACCCTCTAGATTCATCTATGTTGTTGAAATGGCAAGATTTCATTCTTTTTTATGGCTTAGTCATATTCCATATGCACCACTTCATCTACACTAATAAAAGACAAACATGCAAATTGACTGTACCTTCTCTATGCCTTAAGCCACACCCACCAGCCAATCAGAGCGGCTATATGCAAATTAACCCAACCAAGATTGTGGCCAGCAGCCACGGAGCTGGAGCAAGCAGGAGGCTTGGTTGCCCCAATGATGGAGGAAGCCAAGCTTCCCGCAGCCGGCTCTAAGCTCCACTCAAAGCAACAAAGTTTCAATTATAGAAGGTAAATTAATCCCAGAATTAAAAAAAAAAAAGAAAAAAAGGAGAGGCTGGGAGCTTCCGTCGCCGGGGGGCTTGGCCAGCCTGAAAACGGCCCTCAGCCCCTCACCCAGACTAGCCAGCACCCAGTGGGGACCCCCACCCTGAAGGCGGATGTGACCAGCCTGCAAACACCCATGAGCCCCTCACCCAGGCTGGCCAGGCACCCCAGCAGGACCCCC